AAATTAGATATAGAAGAACCACATGACGATCAACAGGAATTTGGACACATTTCTGCATTTCATTATATGTCTATGACGTAAATTTTCTAATCAATGTGCTTAAAATCTAAAAGTTAGAGACTTATTCGTTACTATATAAATACATTGGGGACCAGGGATGAAATTTTTCCTATTGTTTAAAACACAATCCATTTCGGGTAGACAATTTCAAATGGGATTATTCTTCTTGAAACAGGAGCGCCACTTGGCAGAGGGCTTGTGGTAGCACGACTCTTTTAAGTGCCAATTGCCAGCACATGGCGTGGATACTCTCTGGACGAAAACGACACGCTTACGTCCAGTTCGTGCGTTTGAGTCGATGTATTTTGAAATAGTAGATTAATGGAGAATGTGTGGTTAGAAAAGAAAGAAATGTTATTAATGTGATGTAAAATATTATTTTATTAAAGAAAGTGTGATTGAAAATGAGATGAAGAACGACAATGAAAATGAGAACGCGTTTCCAACGTGGCTCAAAATCCCTTAATAATTATAATGCAGGATTTTTAAATTAAATTTTATTTTTCATGATTTATTTTTGTTTTTCCAATAAAGTCTCTTCTTTATGCTCTCCAACGGAAATAAACAGTATTTTTTGTTTTTTGGTTTTTTTTTTGGGAAAAAGGAAACCTTTTCCTTATACCAAACAATTGAAAAAAAGTGAGATTCTGAATTTTGCCTTTGGGTTCCAAGCCATCTCTGTCTCTGCAGCTCATCTCTCAATTTTTCTATTGGATCTGTAAATTCAAGCGGAAAATTAGTAGGGTTGGTTTTCATATCTTGATTTTGGTTTCGTTTATGGCTTTGCTAGCAAATTATCTGTTATATTTGCAAAAAGATTAGTGGGTTTGTTTAGTTTTAGTTAATATTAGGCGATTCCGTTGCTTTAAATGTGGTTTGGTTGACATTTCTGGTGGAGATCTTATGTAAATTTTTTGTGGGTTTTTGGCCTTTTGTGCTATTTTTTGTCTTTTATTTGTAGGGCTCTAAAGTTCATTATTTTCTTCGCAGGAGTTGAAATTTTGAAAAAATCCTGCTTTTCACCATTTTGTGAGTTGCAAATAACACCTTTTGTTGTGTAAAAAATTCAGATTATGATGATTTGTAGAACCCCAAAAGGGGATTTCGACTGTTGTTTTTGTGGATTGATTCGAATCGAAAGAGCGTTTAGCTTAGTATAGCTGTGGTTAGGTTGAGGAGACATTGTTTTGTTTTTTTTATTTTTAATTCTACTCCTAAATTTTGATTTTTGGAGAAAAGCATCCATCTCGCTATTGTGGAGATCTGGGAGTTGTTTCGTTTGTTATGTCCCATGAGGACCTTTTTTCCATCTGAGTCTTGTAAAGAAACCCATCTAAGTGCCGTCAATCCACAGTCATGGCTCCAAGTTGAAAGAGGCAAGGTTTCCAAATTTGCATCTGAGTCTCCATCTTCCATGTAAGTATCTGTCTCTGTTGTTGAACCTGTTATTTTTTCATACACTTTCATGCGATTAGTTTATCGAATAATATTTTGGAATGTTTGTAGAGAATCTCTTGTGAAGGTCCCCGAACCTCAGATTCTTCCATTATTTAAACCGGTTGATTATGTAGAAGTTTTAGCTCAAATTCACGAGGAACTTGAATCTTGTCCTCCGGAAAAGAGGTCGAATCTTTACTTGTTACAGTATCATGTCTTTAAAGGCCTCGGAGAAGTCAAATTGATGCGAAGGAGCCTTCGCTCGGCTTGGCTGAAAGCTAGCACTGTTTATGAGAAGCTCGTTTTTGGGGCATGGTTGAAATATGAGAAGCAAGGTGAGATTATATCTGATTTGCTATCATCTTGTGGTGAATGTGCTAAGGAGTTTGGAATTATAGACATTGCCTCTGAGTTCCCCACCAATGATAATTTAATCTCTCGTGGAAATAATACGTCAAATGAGAAACATTTTTCGAGAATTGTTTCTTTCATAATCGGTGATGAGAAAATATCATGTGACAGGCAGAAAATTGCCGGCCTTTCAGTTCCATTTCATGCCATGCTCTATGGCTGTTTCATGGAATCATTTTGCGAGGACATTGATCTGTCTGAAAACAGTATTTCTCCTTCAGGGATGAGAGTGATCAGTGATTTCAGCACAACAGGCAGTTTAAATGGGGTGCACCCCAATCTTTTGCTAGAAATATTGGTATTTGCCAACAAGTTTTGCTGTGAAAGTCTTAAGGATGCTTGTGATCGGAAACTTGCCTCTTTGGTTTCCTCCAGACAAGATGCAGCTGAACTCATGGAATGTGCTCTTGAAGAGAATTCCCGTGTCCTTGCTGCATCATGTTTGCAAGTGTTTCTACATGAACTTTCCGACTCTCTGAACGACAAAAAGGTTGTTGAACTTTTAAGAAGTGCTGATAGGCAAAAAAGGTCAATTATGGTTGGGCCGGCATCCTTTTCACTCTACTCTTTATTGAGTGAAGTTGCCATAAATGATGATCCATGTTCAGACAAAGCAGTTCTTTTCTCGAAGCTGTTAGTGGACTGTGCTGAAACCAGCCGGCAGAAAATGGTTGCCTATCATCAGTTGGGATGTATTAGATTATTAAGAAAAGAGTATGATGAAGCAGAACAGCTATTTGAGGTGGCTTTGAACGAAGGTCATGTTTATTCTGTTGTTGGCCTGGCTAGATTAAGTCACATCAGGGGTTGTAAAGATTGGTCTTATGAGAAACTAAGCGATGTCATTTCCTCTTATACTCCACTTGGATGGATGTACCAAGAGAGGTCATTGTACTGTCAGGACGATAAGATGGGGGAAGATCTCGACAAAGCAACGGAGTTAGACCCAACGTTGACTTACCCGTACATGTATCGAGCGGCATGCTTGATGAGAAAACATAATGTTCAAGATGCCCTTGCAGAAATCAACCGAATTCTTGGTTTCAAACTAGCATTAGAGTGCTTGGAACTGCGTTTTTGTTTCTATCTTACACTCGAGGAATACCAATCTGCTATGTGTGATGTTCAGGTGATTCTTACACTTTGTCCAGATTATCGGATGTTTGATGGACGGGTAGCAGCATCCCAGTTCCGTACTCTTGTCCGTGAGCACGTCGAGAATTGGACAACAGCCGATTGTTGGCTGCAGTTATACGATAGATGGTCTTTAGTTGACGATATTGGATCCCTCTCTGTAATATATCAAATGCTTGAGTCTGATGCAGTTAAAGGAGTTCTCTACTTTAGACAATCATTGCTTCTCCTCAGGTAATTTTTTGTTTAAATTCTTCTTTTGACTTTTTTTGACACGCTTCACTTTTTCATTAGGGGAATTATTTATGCTTTCATATAGCACATGAATCCCCTGTATTGATTCTCTTGACTCCATTTTCAACCTTGCTGATTAGCGAGACTGGGTAAAACACTCTAATTTTTAACTTAAATCGTGTTAGTACCCTAATTCTGTCCTCAACAACTCAATTATGATGTAATTCATACTCATTTGGGTTTACTGCACAAATCATGCTCTTCCACTCTGCTCTATCAAATACTAGTTAAATCAGAAAGATTCAAATTCTTTTTAATGATTTTGCTATACATTACTTCTTCCTAAGTTAAACACAAGGAATAATCTTCTGAATCGGTATTTTAGGAAGCTCCATGTAACGACCCAACCTTTATGTCCAAACCGTCATATCATACGTGCTATCTAAGATTCAACTTAAATCTCTTATTAGACAGAGATTTTGAAATCAAATCCTGAAGGACGCAAGAGAAAGAAGTGGGGGTACGTGGGCAGATGTGCACTCAAAGCGGACAATATGTATAATATAATGGTTTGGGCACAGAGGCTGTGTCGCTTACAAAAAATGCATTTTTTTGTAACAATCTAGCTTCTACGTCCAAGCCGTTAACTTGCGTAATGTCCGCTCTGGAAGAACTTAAGCTCATTTTACCGCTCATAGATTTTTATCTCATCCCCAGGATTTGAACTCTTGACATTTTCTTTAAGAATGATTTAAGTTGAATCCTAATACCAATTGGACAACTAATATAATACCCCAAAATCTTTTATAGTCGCTAACTATGAAAATTAGGGTCTCAGTGCAAGAGGATGAAAGCTAGATGATCAAATTGCATATTGGCCAATAGTTGAGGGACTATATGTGTAATTTCCTGAACTATATATACATATGATATGAATATTTATGATGTAAGTGAGTATATATATGGGAAAATTGGATGGAATTAAGTATTCCTTATATGTGAAAGATACGTTAGAAAGATTCCTTCCTAAATAAGTAAACTACCATATATGTGTGAATATATACACACACATATAACTACTATATGTATCAATACACGCTCACACACATAAATATATATGGTTGATTGATTTTAAATTATATAATTACTACAATTATGCCCGTTTATATATGTTTAATTATATATAATTACAATTGATTGAGTTAAATTATAGTATTACTAAAATTAATTGTGTCTATCTACGTATAATTATATATAGTTATGGTTGGTTGATTTCAAATATAATATTACTACAATTACGTGCATCTATATATGTATAATTACATGTAATTATGATTGATTGATTTAAATTGTATAATTAGTATAACTTACCTTATTTAGTATACAATTATAGGAACACCTTCACGACTCTTTCCTTTTGGTACCCCTAAATGCACCTATAAATATCACACCTAAATCACAACCACAAACACACAAATTACCACTTTGTTAAAGAAGTTAAATTTTCCTATACGTATTTACTACGATTCTCTTCTAGTTATCAAGGTAAGTATAACCATCTATTGTATGTTGAATAGCTTTTCAACAAATTACCGCGTATTTACTACGATTCTCTTCTAGTTATCAAGGTAAGTATAACCATCTATTGTATGTTGAATAGCTTTTCATACTTTAAAATATGGAATTCGATTTATGAGTATGATATGGGTTCTATATGTGTAAGTTCAAGGGACTGGAGTTCAGTAGTGTTACACCCGAGAATTATAACAACAAAGTACAGTTCTTAATTTCCGTGTCTCCCTATGTATGTTATGATATGTATGGAGATTATGATCACCTAAGTTCAATTTATAATCCCCGTGTCTCCTTATGTATATTAAGAATTTTTAAATTTTAAATATGAATTATGATTCATGTGGCTCACTTATTGGGATTTTATCTCATTATTTATGATTTTCCCCCTTCTAGGTAATTGAGGTTCGAGGCATTGGAGTTCGGTACTGGCTACTGATGTTATAATAAAAAGGATATAATTTATGATTAAGAAAGTGTTTTATTTTTAATTATTGTAACTTTGGGGATAATTATCTTTTATGAAAGTTCTATTTTTACGGTATGTATTTAACGACTCAAAGGTTAAGTTTTGGGTCGTTACACACCCGCATTCAATTGAAGATTTCTTTTGAGGCTCTCACTTTAGCTTGTGTTCTGTGCATGATGTATGAATCTTTGTTTGCAATCATAGAGCTGTATTACGGAGTAAGATCCTTGCTTTTGACATTTTCAAGGAGGATTTAATTAGATCTTTTGCGCACTTCTATTTGTGCATAAAATGATTGGAAAACCTAAGTAACTGAATATTAACTCTATATAATTTTGATCAGATTAAATTGTCCTGAAGCTGCCATGCGGAGTTTACAGCTGGCTCGTCAACATGCATTGAGTGAGCATGAACGATTAGTTTATGAGGGATGGATTTTATACGACACCGGTCATTGTGAAGAAGGGCTACGGAAAGCTGAGAAGTCTATTAGTCTCCAAAGATCCTTTGAGGCTTTTTTCCTAAAAGCCTATGCATTAGCTGACTCTAGTCTAGATCAATCATCTTCATCCACCGTTACATTGCTTCTTCAAGAAGCCCTGAAATGTCCCTCAGATAGGCTTCGGAAAGGTCAGGTATGATTTTCTTATAGTTTGTAAAAAACCCTGAATATTGGGTTGTGAGGCTCAAAAGGAGGTACAGCATTCTTATCAGTTTATTTTTGTGTGGCTGAGTTGGCGATCCTCAATCTTGAATACCAGACCACATCGCCTATCATTAAACTTAAAAAGTATCATGAACGTGTGAGGTTTTTGACCCCAGATCTTGTACGAATTTAGCCATCGAACTGTGATTAACTTTAGGCCATGTTTCACTAAGCATAAAAAGTTTACGTAGAGATTAATAATTTCTTGATTGGGAAAATTTTGGATATGAGTTACTTAGCCCTTGTTTGATCCCTATTTTGGGGTGAAATGTGTTTTTGAATAGTGATTTTTTTGAAGAATGTGTGGTTAAAAAATAAGTAAAAGTTTTCGGTTTATGTGTAAAATTATTTTATGGGAGAATGTATGGTTCAAAACGAGTTTTTGAAAAAATGGAGGCCAAACATAGGTTTATTTTGACAGGTCAGTTAGAGTAACTTTTAAAACATTTAAAGTAACATATCCAAATTAGAAACAAGAAGTTACCTTAATGTAACTTTTACCTTTTTCAACCTTAACGCACTCTTGGTAAATAGTTGATATGTTCAATTTTTCATACCTGTAAGTTCGTGATAATGTACCCTACCTGGTCAAATCTTTGTTGAACTCAATTATGGCTTGTGCATGATGATATAATTGCTTTCTGAAAGAAAACAGTCACTTGTCAAAAGAGTTGATTTTGGCGTTCTTTGCAGTGGATATTCTATTCTTTTCTCAATCAACTTGCCATTTCTTTGCTCTTGGTATTTTCCCATTAATTTTATGTTTCTTACTGACCTACCAGTCATATAATAGATTTGCTTCAACATTTATTGATCTTCTTTTTTATATTTATGGCTAGGCCCTAAACAATCTGGGAAGTGTCTATGTTGATTGTGGTAACCTAGATGAAGCAGCTGATTGCTACATCAATGCCCTTAAAATTCAGCATACCCGAGCCCATCAAGGCCTTGCCCGTGTCCATTTCTTAAGAAATGATAAAAATGCTGCATATGCTGAGATGAGTAAACTGATAGAAAAGGCAAGGAACAATGCATCTGCCTATGAGAAAAGGTCTGAGTACTGTGAGCGTGAACTCACAAAGGCAGATCTAGAGAAGGTCACTCAATTAGATCCTCTCAGGGTTTACCCTTACAGATATCGAGCTGCAGGTTAGATTCCTCTACCTGAAAAACCACGGAACTGCTACCTCTCACCCCTTATCGTCTTATGTTTATAATTGATAATTTCTTCTTCCTTTTTAACCTTTTGTTTGGGAGGGGGTGGGCGGGCGGACCAAATTCCACAGTGAAGATTTTTCTATAGAAAACTGGAATCAATCAGCTGATGAGGTCACGTTAAGATATTGACGGGGGATCTACATATAAGAAATGCCGAGAAGCCCAAGACATTGAGGTCACATTTGGTGCACCGGATTAGACCGGATAAAAAATTAGTGTGACTTATAAGAATATTAGTAGATGGTATTATGGTGGATAATAATCTTTGAATTTTCATTTAAAAGAATGTCACTTGCTATCTCATTTTTTATACAGCCTAAATCCACCGCCAACATTTAGAATCTTAGATTATGTTATACGGTTGATGGTGCAAATAACTATCTTTTGGATGAAAAATTATAGAATGTTCCACCTTAATCCATCATATGTACTTACTATCTATTATAATTTTATACTAAATTCTTTGGACAGCCTAATTTAGTGCACCAAACGTAGCCTAAAGGTGGTAAGTGTGTACATAAGACAGTTATCTATTGTCAATTGGATTCCCTTGTTTATCTCATTATTTATCTAATTTAGAGATTACATGATGAGAACAAAACAATATTATGCTGGAGAATATTGGAAAGGAAAAAGGTACAGGTCAATCATTATGTTATCGCGTGTCCATGATTGAGTACGAAATCACTAAGAGATTGGCCTCCAGATACCTTGGTCGGTTGGTTGTCACATGGAGAGAAAAGATCACTGTAGAATGGATGCTGATGACGACTTAGGTAGTTGGGGCTTGCGTCCAGTGACACAACTTCGGTAGAGTAAGTAAGAAGATGGAGAGACCAAAATTAAAATCACCTGTTGTGGTAGCTAAGAACCTAGTAGTTTTAGATCTTCAGTTGATCAAGCAATTAATAGAATGGAATGTTGATAAATGATTAATGTAGCCGATCTCACACTTATTTATAACAAGGCTTTTGTTTTTATGCTGCTGTTATTTGGTTGAACTGCCCTTTTACTATGTCTATATATTTGTTTCGAAAATTGGATTCATAGTCCTGCTGACTTCCTCTCATTGATTTTTCATTTTGTTTTTTGGGGGTGTAGTGTTGATGGACAATCGCAAGGAGGATGAGGCGATTGCAGAACTGTCGAGGGCTATTACATTCAAAGCAGATCTTCACCTTCTTCACCTACGCGCTGCATTCCACGAACACATTGGTGATGTTACAGGTGCTCTGCGAGACTGTCGAGCTGCTCTTTCAGTTGATCCCGATCACCAAGAGATGCTGGAACTTCATAATCGAGTGAACAGCCAAGAACCTTAGACGATGATGGGGTAAGAAGAAAAAGGAAAATGCTTAGTTGGTGTCGTTAACAGCCAAGAACCTTAGACGATGATGGGGTAAGAAGAAAAAGGAAAATGCTTAGTTGGTGTCGTTTGGGGTAGGATGGAAAAATCTTAGTCTTGTAGCGTACCATGCATGTTTGGTATACAATATTAGACTGTACTGGACAATAATAGGCAAGATTTGAGTTTCGATTTCTTTCCAGTACTATTTAATCTACCTTACCAAACACACCGTTAGTGTATACTAGTGGGCGACATTGTAATGCTACAAATGTACCTAGTATCATCTTATTCACTTTTATTTTTGGCGAAATTTTGTAATATGCTTTGAATTGTTTGTCAATATATAATTTATTTTTCTGATTTAAATGTGGCTTTTCTTGAGCTTGGGCACTTGAATTTTTCTAGTTATCTATTCTTTGGAGGAAATTGGGGGCAAATGGTCTCAGACCTTTGTTCATATTAAGTTTTTGTCTGAACATTTTGAAAGTGGCGTAAATGATCCTTCTGGATGGATTCGATCCAAAATGGCCTTTAATATAAATTGCATTTGTTGTCCAAACTATAGTGAGAGAAACAGTCATGTTCCTAACTAATTTTTTCGTCTTATTTTTGCCTTAAGACATTCAAGAGATTAAAAGTAAGTCCCTCTTATTAATATCCTTAACAAATAAAAGAGCCAGTTGGGGAGGCACTGTTCATGATGTCAAGAATTTGAATCGTCAACCAACACGACGTCGTTTTATTAACCGCCTTTTCCTACTACTTCACACCACTTCTGCCTATTTTGTCTGCTTACCATTTTCAACCATCGTCTTCTCCAAATTTCAGTCTGTAGCAATACTGCAGCCAAGAAATTGTAGGGAATTTAGCCGATCAATAATTAGACAACAATATTTACAAATAATTAAGAACAATAATTAAGAATAATATTTACCACTAACGATTCTGAACAATATAATTAGAGAAATTCGGCAAAGAATTGAGTCGGTGAGCACCCAAAACTAAAAAGTGGATGAACATGAGGAAGGATCCGTTGTACTTCTGAAAGTTGATAGATTTGGATTCGTAAAGCAGGAAGCTAACTCTCCTGATGGTTTAACAAGGAGTAGATCAGCCTTCGAGTATGAGAGGTACGCAAATTATAAAACGCATCCACATTCTAGAAGAGATTGTCCGGACTTTGTGCACGAAGGCACGCTATGCACGGAGGCACCAGCGTGCCTCCGTACTGGTGCCGTGCCAGCGTGCCTCTGTGCACGAGAACGAAGGCACGTCGTGCCTCCGTTCGCATGCACGGAGGCACGATGTGTATAGGCACTAGCGTGCGTGCCTCTGTGTACACGGACGGAGACACGACGTGCCTCTGTTCACGTGCACGTAGGCACACCGTGCTCAGCGTGCCTCCGTGCACGCGGACGGAGGCTCGACGTGCCTCCGTCCACGTGCACGGAGGCATGCTACTAAGCTGTCTCCATGCCACACATTCCTGTTTCTGTCTAAATTCATCACTATCCGT